CAGACAGGGAGTCAGATAGATAGAAACACATAGATAGATAGTCAGATATAGATAGATAGATAGATAGATAGATAGATAGATATAGATAGATATAAAAACAGATAGATAGATAGATAGATAGTCAGATAGATAGATAGATAGACAGACAGACAGGGAGTCAGGGAGTCAGATAGATAGAAACACATAGATAGATAGTCAGATATAGATAGATAGATAGATAGATAGATAGATAGATATAGATAGATATAAAAACAGATAGATAGATAGATAGTCAGATAGATAGATAGATAGACAGACAGACAGACAGCCAGGGAGTCAGATAGATAGAAACAGATAGATAGTCAGATATAGATAGATATAGATAGATAGATAGATAGATAGATAGATAGTCAGATAAATAGTCAGATAGATAGATAGATAGATATATAGTCAGATATAGTTATATATAGATATAGATATAGATAGATAGATAGATAGATAGATAGATAGATAGATAGATAGATATAAAAACAGATAGATAGACAGACAGACAGACAGGGAGTCAGATAGAAACACGTAGATAGATAGATAGTCAGATAGATAAATAGATAGATAGATAGACAAGATAGATAGATATAGATAGGCAGATACATATATAGATAGATAGATATATATCGATATAGATATATAGATAGATGGATAGATCAAAAAAACAGCTAGATAGATAGTCAGATAAATAGTCAGATAGATAGATAGCCAGGGAGTCTGATAGCTAGAAACACATAGATAGATAGATAGATAGATAGATAGATAGATAGATAGATAGATAGACAGATAGTCAGATAAATAGTCAGATAAATAGTCAGATAGATAGATAGTCAGTTAGTTAATTAGATAAATAGATAGATAGACAGATAGACAGTCAGGCAGATAGATAGATAGATAGATCAATAGTCAGATAGATATATAGATGACAGATAGATAGATAGTCAGATAGATAGATAGATAGATAGATAGATAGATGGATAGGCCTTACTGGTGCATTATTTAAACTGTTATGTTTATTCATATCATGATCTGATCACCATACTCAATATATCCCATATGCATGGGGGTATTGGGGTAATGATACAAAAGGTTTGCTAGGCTAGACCCTCTTTCACTCAGACTCAGCCCCTCCCGAAACTCAGCCCCCCCCCCTCCCCGAAACGAAATCCTGGCTACGGGCTGGAAAGGAGGTAGGAGGGAAGAAGGAGCAAGGAAAGAAGCAAGGAAAGGAAAGAAGGAAGGAAGGAAAGAAGGAAGGAAGGAAAGGAAAGGAGGAAGGGAGGAAGGAAGGAAGGAAAGAAGGAAAGAAGCAAGGAAGAAAAGAAGGAATGAAGGAAAGAAAGAAAGGAGGTAGGGAGGAAAGAAGGAAGCAAGGAAGGAAAGAAGAAAGGAAGGAAGGAAGGAAGGAAGGAAGGAAGGAAGGAAGGAAGGAAGGAAGGGAAGGGAAGGGAAGGGAAGGGAAGGGAAAGGAAAGGAAAGGAAAGGAAAGGAAGGAAGAAAAGAAGGAAAGACGGAAGGAAGGAAGGAAGGAAGGAAAGAAAGAGAGGAAGGAAGAAGGAAGGAAGGAAGGAAGGAAGAAGGAAGAAAGGAGGTAGGGAGGAAAGAGGAAGCAAGGAAGGAAAGAAGAAAGGAAGGAAGGAAAGGAAGGAAGGAAGGAAGGAAGGAAAGGAAAGAAGGAAGGAAGAAAAGAAGGAAGGAAGAAGGGAAGGAAGGAAAGAAGGAAGAAAGAAGAAAGAGGAAGGAAGAAAGGAAAGAAAGAGAGGAAGGAAGGAAGGAAGGAAAGGAAGGGAGGGAGGGAAAGAAGAAGGAAGAAAAGAAGGAAACAGGAAGGAAGAAAGGAAAGAAAGAGAGGAAGGAAGGAAGGAAGGAAGGAAGGAAGAAGGAAGGAAGGAAGGAAGGAAAGACGGAAGGACAGACAGTTAGATAGATAGTCAGATAAATAGTCAGATAGATAGATAGCCAGGGAGTCTGATAGCTAGAAACACATAGATAGATAGATAGATAGATAGATAGATAGATAGATAGATAGATAGATAGATAGATAGATAGTCAGTTAGATAAATAGATAGACAGATAGACAGTCAGGCAGATAGATAGATAGATCAATAGTCAGATAGATATATAGATGACAGTCAGATAGATAGATAGTCAGATAGATAGATAGATAGATAGTCAGATAGATAGATAGATAGATAGATCGAGATACATGGGATTATTATTGGTGGCCCAATAATCTGTACTGTATGTGTATATGTTTTTAAATTGGAGATGTTTTTTAATTGCTGTAAACCGCGATGAGTCGCCGATCCATGCTGAGATATTAGCGGTATACAAGTGTATTAATAAATAAATAAATAAATAAATAGATAGATAGTCAGATAGATAGGAAGTAAGATAGATAGATAGATAGAGTAGATAGATAGATAGAGAGAGATAGAATAGAGAGATAGATAGTAGATAGCTAGGTAGATAGATAGACAGTAGATAGATAGATAGATAGATAGATTAGATAGATAGATTAGATAGATAGATAGATAGATAGATAGATAGATAGATTTGATAGATAAATAGATCGATAGTCAGATAGATAGATAGATAGATAGATAGATAGATAGTCAGATAAATAGATAGATAGGTAGACAATCAGATAGATAGATAGATAGATAGATAGATAGATAGATAGATAGATAGATAGACAGACAGATAAATAGATGGGTGGATGGATGGATGGATGGATGGATGGATAGTCAGGGAGTCAGATAGATAGATAGATAGATAGATAGATAGATAGATAGATAGATAGATAGATAGGCAGTGAGATATATAGTCAGATTGATAGATCGATAAATAGATCGATAGTCAGATATATAATCAGATAGATAGATAGATAGATAGATTAATAGATAGTCAGATAGATAGAGAGATAGATAGACAGTAAGGCAGATAGATATATAGTCAGATTGATAGATAAATAGATCAGTAGTCAGATATATAATCAGATAGATAGATAGATAGACAGACAAATAGTCAGATAGATAGGCATTCAGATAGGTAGATATAATCAGATTGATAGGTAGATAGATAGACAGATAGACAGTCAGACAGATAGATAGTTATAGATACATCTATTTGGTGAAGCAGGGGAATGCTAAATCAACCCAAAAGTCAATCTCTCCAGATTCAGTTTAAAAAAAGAGACAGACAGACAGATAGATAGATAGATTAGAGGCCAAATATGTATCTCTTGAAATCTATGTCTCTATATTTCTGCCTATTATCAAATAGATGCAGATGTGGAAGGCCTGGAGCCAACCTCCTGCCTTTCCCCATTCTGATGTTTATGTGTTGATGCGGCCCTCCTCCTCCTCCTCCTCCTCCTCCTCCTCCTCCTCCTCCTCCTCCTCCTCCTCCTCCTCCTCGAGGATTATGGGCTTTGCTGTCCGCTGACCGGATCTGCCTGACGTGAGCTCTGCGTAATCCGGCCACCCACCCACCCATTCACTCAGTAAACCAGCAGCAGTGCCAACATCTGGAGGACTTTAAGCCCTGGAAAGCGAGGACATCCTGGCCACTCGGGAGAGTGCCTTTGCTTTTGTTTTTTATGAATGCTCCCATTAGAAAATGCATAAGGATGTGGGTGAACTACAATTCCCAAAATTGTGGGTCAATCCTCCCTAAAGTCTGTCAGTCTTTACAGTTGGGTCTGTGCGCAAAGTTTGGTCCAGATTCATTGTTGGCTGGGTTCAGAGGGCTCTCTGAATATGGATGAACTATAACTCCCAGATGCCAAGGTCAATCACCCCCAAACCCCTCCAGTATGCAAAGTTGCCTGTGTTGGGTCTGTGTGCCAGGTTTGATCCAGATCTGTCATTGGTGGAGTCCAAAGGGCTTACTTAATACAGGTGAACTATAACTCCCAGATTTCAAGGACAGTCATCTCCTAACCTTTAGGCACAGTGGATCATGTTGTGTCTGTGTGCCAAGTTCAGTCCAGATTCATTGTCGGCTGGGTTCAGTGCTCTCTGGGTAAGGGTGAACTACAACTCCCAGAATTCAAGGTCAATTGCCCCTCACCAGGACATAAAGTGTGTGTGTCTGTGTCCCAAATTTGTTGTAGGTCCGTCATTTGTGGGAGTCACAGTGCTTTCTGGAAGTGGATGAAGGTACTTCAAATCCTATCATCCCTGGTCCATCATCCCCCCCAAACCTCACCGAGATGTAAAGTGGGTCATTGGGAGTCTATGTCCTAGTTTAGGGTCATACCCATGGCTGATGGGGATAGAAGTCGTCTCTGGAAGTGAGTGAAGGTACTGCAAATCCCATCATCCATGGTACAATCTCTTCCAAAACTCATCAGGACATAAAGTGGGTCATGGGGGGGGGGGCGTCTGTGCGCCAAGTTTGGCCCAGGTCCGTCATTCGTGGAGGTCGCAGTCTGTGGCAGTGAGTGAAAGCGCTGCAAATCCCATCATCTGTGGTCCATCCTGCCCCAAATTGCACCAGGGGGGAAAAAAAAAAGAAAGGAGGAAGGAAGGAAGGAAAGAAAGAAAGAAAGAGAGAAAGAAAGAAAGAAAAGAAAGAAGGAAAGAAGAAGAAAGAAGAAAGAAGGAAAGAAGGGGAAAAATAGGAGGAAAGAAGGAAGGGAGGAAAGAAGGGAGGAGGAGGAAGGAAAGAGGAAGGAAGGAAAGAAAGGAAGGAAGGGAAAGGAAAGAAGCAAGGAAGCAAAGAAGGAATGAAGGAAAGACAGAAAAGAAAGGAGGTAGGGAGGAAAGAAGGAAGCAAGGAAGGAAAGAAGAAAGGAAGAGAAGAAGGAAGGAAGGAAGGAAGGAAGGAAGGAAGAAAGGAGGAAGGAGGAAGAAGGAAGCAAGGAAAGAAGCAAGGAAAGGAAGGAAGGAAGGAAAGGAAAGAATGAAGCAAGGAAGGAAAGAAGAAAGGAAGAAAAGAAAGGAAGAAAAGAAGGAAGGAAGGAAAAAAGAAAGGAAAGGTAAGGAGAGAGGGAGGAAAGAAGGGAGGAAGAAAAGAAGGAAGGAAAGGAGGGAGGGAGGAAAGAAGGAGGAAAGAAAGAAAAGGAAAGGAAGGAAAGAAAAGAAAGAAGAAGAAAGAAAGAAAGAAGGAAAAAAAAAAGGAAGGAGAGGAGGGAAGAAGAAAGCAAGGAAAGAGAAAGGAAGAAGGAAAGAAGGAAGGAAGGAAAGGAGAAGGAGGAAAAAGGAAGAAGGAAGGAAGGAAGGAAGGAAAAAGGAAAAAGAAGGAAGAAAGAAGGAAAGGAAGGAGAAGGGAAGGAAAGAAGGGAGGAAAAAGAAGGAAGGAAAAGGAAAGGAGGAGAGAGGAAAGAAGGAAAGAAAGAAAGAAGGGAAGGAGGAAGGAAAGAAGCAAGGAAGAAAGAAGGAATGAAGGAAAGAAAGAAAGGAAAGGAGGTAGGGAGGAAAGAAGAAGCAAGGAAGGAAAGAAAGAAGGAAGAAAGGAAGAAAGGAGAAAGGAAGAGGAAAGAAGGAAAGAAGGAAGGAAGGAAGGAAGAAAGAAAGGAAGGAAGAGAAGGAAGGAAGGAAAGAAAGAAGGAAAGGAAGGAAGGAAAGAAAGAAGCAAAGAAAGAAGCAAGGAAAGGAAAGGAAAAGAAGGAAGGAAGGAAATAAGGAAAGGAAAGAAAGGAGAGGAAGAAAGACGAAAGAGGAAGGGGAAGAAGGAAGGAAGGAAGGAAGGAAGGAAGGAAGGAAGGAAGGAAGGAAGGAAGAAGGAAAGGAAGGGAGGGAAGGAGGGAGGGGGAAGGAGAAGGAAGGAAGCACAGAGACCGGGGAAGAAGAAGAAGAAGAAGAAGAGGGCAATCCCGGCTGCCGGGCGCTCTGCCAATGGGGCGCTCCCCCTTCCCCGGCCCCGCCCCTTTCCTCCCGCGGGGCTTCCCGATTGGCGGAGGCGCGGAAGGGAGCGCCGCCAGTTGGGGACCGGGGCGCAGTTGGGTTGCTGTCTGCCTTGCTTGGCCGTGGTGGGCTGGCCATGGCCGGGCCCAGGAGCTCCCTCTTCATCCGCGTCGTGGAAGCCAAGAACCTGCCGGCCAAGGACATGTAAGTGCCTATAGGGCGCCTGTCTACACGGCAGGCTTTAACGCGGTTTGACACTTGGGGTCCCCATCCAAACATCAAGATTGGTAGTAATAATAACAACACTAACAATAACAACAGTTTATTATATGTATTAATTAGTAATTATAATTTATTATCAATTATCATTATTTATTGCTAATAATAACTATTAATAAATAATAAGTTAATAATTAATTATAATTAATAATTAATAAATATTGATAATTACTTTTTTTATTTATTATTATAATTATTGTTATACCTATTTATTATTATTATTCGTCGACTATTATTATAATTTGTTTATTATTATGTATTGTTCTTTGTTGACAATCATTCTTTATTGATCATTATTATTTTTATTTGTTGATCATTATTATTTATTATTTGTTGATAATTATCATTTATGGAGCCCCAGGTGGCGCAGTAGGTTAAACCGCTGAGCTGCTACACTTGTTGGTTCGAATCCCGGGAGCAGCATGAGCTCCCGCTGTCAGCTCCAGCTTCTGCCAAACTAGCAGTTCGAAAACATGCAAATGTGAGTAGATCAATAGGTACTGCTCCGGCAGGAAGGTAACGGCACTCCATGCAGTCATGCCAGCCGCATGACCTTGTAGGTGTCTACGGACAACACCGGCTCTTTGGCTTAGAAATGGAGATGAGCACCACACCCCAGAGTCGGACATGGCTGGACTTAGTGTCAGGGGAAAACCTTTACCTTTACTAATAGTATTATATAATTATATTATATAATGGTGCTCCATGCTGCCATGCTGTCATGCTGGCCACATGACCTTGGAGGTGTCTACAGACAATGCCGACTCTTTGGTTTAGAAATGGAGATGAGCACCACACCCCAGAGTCGGACATGGCTGGACTTAGTGTCAGGGGAAAACCTTTACCTTTACTAATAGTATTATATAATTATATTATATAATGGTGCTCCATGCTGCCATGCTGTCATGCTGGCCACATGACCTTGGAGGTGTCTACAGACAATGCCGACTCTTTGGTTTAGAAATGGAGATGAGCATCACACCCCAGAGTCGGACACGACTGGACTTAATGTTGGGGAAAACCTTTACCTCACCTTTACTTATCATTTATTATTCTTTATGGAAAATTATGATTTTTTATTATTATTTGATGATAATTATCAGTTATTATTCTTTATGGATAATTATAATTATTTATTATTTATTTATCATCATTATTTTTATTATTATTTGTTAATAATTATCCATTATTATTCTTTATTGATAATTATGATTTTTTATTATTTGTTGATAATTATCAATTTTATTATTTATTATTATTTGTTGATAATTATGTGTGCCAAGTTTGGTCTTGATCCATCACTGGATGAGGGTCGCAGCGGTCTCGGGAAGTGAGTGGAGGTACTTCAAGTCCCATCATCCATGGTCCGTCCTCCCCAGACTGCACCAAAATGTTGAGTTGGCCATGTGGGCTCTCTGAACCAAGTTTGGTCTTCATTGGTAATTGGATGAGTGTTGCTGTGGTCTCAGGAAGTGAGTGAAGGTACTTCAAGTCCCATCATACATGGTCCGCCCTCCTCCCAGGACGTAGAGTGGGTCATGGGGGCTCTGTGTGCCAAGTTTGGTCTTGATCAGTCATTGGATGGGGTTGCAGTGGCCTTGGGAAGTGAGTGGAGATACTTTAAGTCCCATCATCCATGGTCTGCACTTCTCCAAACTGCAGCAGGATGTGGAGTGAGTCATGGGGGTTATGTGTGCCAAGTTTGGTCTTGATCAGTTATTGGATGAGGGTTGCAGTGGTCTGTAGGTACCCAAGGCTTTCAAAGTACTACAAATCCCATCATACATTGTCCATCCTCCCCCAAACCTCACCAGGATGTAAAGGGGTTCATGGGGGTTACGTGTGCTAAGTTTGGTCTTGATTGGTCATTGGATGAGGAATGAGTTGAGGTACTTCAAGTCCCATCATCCATGGTCTGCACTCCAAACTGCACCAGGATGTAGAGTGGGTCATGGGGGTCTGTGTGCCAAGTTTTGTCTTGATCAGTCATTGGATGAGGTTGCAGTGGCCTTGGGAAGTGAGTGGAGATACTTTAAGTCCCATCATCCATGGTCTGCACTTCTCCAAACTGCAGCAGGATGTGGAGTGAGTCATGGGGGTTATGTGTGCCAAGTTTGGTCTTGATCAGTTATTGGATGAGGGTTGCAGTGGTCTGTAGGTACCCATCATCCATTGTCCATCCTCCCTCAACCTCACCAGGATGTAAAGGGGGTCATGGGGGTTACGTGAGCCAAGTTTGGTCTTGATCAGTCATTGGATGAGGGTTGCAGTAGTCTCGGCAAGTGAGTGGCGGTACTTCAAGTCCCATCATCCATGGTCTGCCCTCCTCCAAACTGCAGCAGGATGTGGAGTGAGTCATGGGGGCTCTGTGTGCCAAGTTTGGTCTTGATCAGTCATTGGATGAGGGTTGCAGTGGTCTCGGGAAGTGAGTGGAGGTACTTCAAGTCCCATCATTCATGGTCCTGCACTTCTCCAAACTGCAGCAGGATGTGGAGTGAGTCACGGGGCTTCTGTGTGCCAAGTTTTGTCTTTATCGGTCTTTGTTGGGGGCCACAGTGGTTTGTGGGATCAAAGTGTTTGAAAGTGCTGCAAATCCCATCATCCATTGTCCGTCCTCCCCAAAACCCCACCAGGATGTAAAGGGGGTCATGGGGGTTATGTGTGCCAAGTTTGGTCCAGGTCTGTCACCCGTGCATGTCACAGTGACCTGTGGAAGTGGGAGCCAATTCATACCTCCGCTTATATACATACATACAAACATTGACTTTTACTATAGATATAGATATACACAGAAAGCTGCCACATACATACAAACATTCACTTTTAGTATATATATAGATATACATATACACACACACATATGTATGCATGTGTTTGAGCAGAAAAATATCCAGGGAGGGGAGCAAAGCGCCTGCTTTGGCGTCCAGCTATTTTTGGGTTCATGCGCCTGGCATTTCGAGAGATGGAAAATCTGCTTCGAAAGAACATAAATCTGGGTATTATCCTCGGATTTCGGTCCCTGAAAGCTCTATTCCGGAAGCCAAAGCCACGCTGAAAGTGGCCGACTTCCCTCAATTTGAACATTCACTTTCTATGGAGGAAGCAGCCTGGTGTTGTGAACCACTTTCCCGTGACCTTATTGCAATTTTCCAGTAAGGGAAAGGGTTGTTGGGAAACTAACACTCTTGCGTGCACATTGGAATGGTTCTCTTGTCTCCGTATTTCTGTGTTACCTCACTCCCTTTCCTGTCAGTTTTGCGATGGCCCCAAATTAACGTTGGAGCATTTTCTAGAAAAGTTGTTGTGTAGCCAGTCTGGGGGTCGGGACCCCTGGGAGGGTCAAGAAGATCACCAGAAAACCCAGCATTCTGTGTGGGAAGTTTGGGCCAATTCTATCATTGGTAGGGTTTGGAATGCTCTTGGATTGTAGGTGAACTATAAATTCCAGCAACTTCCACTCCCAAATGTCAAGGTCCATTTCCCCCCAAACTCCACCAATGTTCACATTTGGGCATATTGAATATTTGCCAAGTTTGGTCCAGATCCATCATTGTTTGAGTCCACAGTGCTTTGGATGTAGGTGAACTACAACTCCAAAATTCAAGGTCAATGTCCACCCCACCCTTCCAGTATTTTCTGTTAGGTCATGGGAGTCCTGTGTGTCACCTTTGGTTCAACTCCATCATTGGTGGAGTTCATAATGCTCTTTGATTGGAGGTGAACTATAAATCCCAGCAACTACAACTCTCGAATGTCAAGGTCTATTTTCACCAACTCCACCAGTGTTTACAATTGGGCATATTAAGTTTTGTGCCAAGTTTGGTCTAGGTCCATCATTGTTTGAGTCCACAGTGTTCTCCCAAATGACAAAACCCTTCCCTCCCCTTAACCCCACCAGTATTCAAATTTGGGCATATCAGGTACCCTTCCAGTATTTTCTGTTTGTCATTGGAGTTCTGTGTGCCAAGTTTGGTTCACTTTTGTCATTGGTGGGGTTCATAATGTTCTTTGATTGGAGGTGAACTATAAATTCCAACAACTAAATTTCAAGGTCAATTTTCCCCAAACTCCACCATAATGGGCATATTGGGTATTGGTGCCAAGTTTGGTCCAGATCTATCATTGTTTGAGTCCACAGTGCTCTCTGGATGAAGGGGAACTACAACTCCAAAACTCAAGGTCAATGCCCACAAACCCTTCCAGTATTTTCTGTTGGGCATGGGAGTTCTGTGTGGTAAGTTTGGTTCAATTCTATCATTGGTGAGGTTCAGAATGCTCTTTAATTGGAGGTGAACTATAAATCTCAGCAACTACCACTCTCAAATGTTAAAGTCTATTTTCCTCAAACTCCACCAGTGTTCACATTTGGGCATATTGTGCATTCGTTGCAAGTTTGGTCCAGATACATCATTGTTTGAGTACACAGTGCTCTCTGGATGAAGGTGAACTACAACTCCAAAACTCAAGGTCAATGGCCCACCAAACCCTTCCAGTATTTTCTCTTTGTCATTGGAGTTCTATGTGCCAAGTTTGGTTCAATTCTATCGTTGATGGAGTTCATAATGCTCTTTGATTGGAGGTGAACTATAAATACCAGCAACTACAACTCCCAAATGACAAAACCCATCCCTCCCCTTAACCCCACCAGTATTCAAATTTGGGCATATCAGGTACTCTTCCAGTATTTTCTGTTTGTCATTGGAGTTCTGTGTGCCAAGTTTGGTTCAATTCTTCATTGGTGGGGTTCAGAATGCTCTTTGATTGTAGGTGAACTATAAATCCCAGCAACTACAACTCCCAAATGTCAAGGTCTATTTTCCCCAAACTCCACCATTGTTCACATTTGGGCATATTGAGTATTGGTGCCAAGTTTGGTCCAGATCCATCATTGTTTGAGTCCACAGTGCTCTCTGGATGTAGGTGAA